CTTTGGGGCCACTCCTGTTCAGCATCTTTATTAATGATCTAGACGAGGGGATTGAGTGCACCCTCAGTAAGTTTGCAGATGACCCCAAGTTGGGTGGGAGTGTTGATCTGCTCGAGGGTAGGGAGTCTCTGCAGAGAGACCTGGACAGGCTGGAGCCATGGGCTGAGGCCAACTGGAGGAGTTTCAATAAGGCCAAATGCTGGGGGCTGCCCTTGGGCCACAACAACCCCCAGCAGCGCTACAGGCTTGGGGAGGAGTGGCTGGAGAGCTGCCAGTCAGAGAGGGACCCGGCGGGGGCGGGGGGATGTTGATTAATAATGAGCCAGCAGTGTGCCCAGGTGGCCAGGAAGGCCAATGGCATCCGGGCTTGTATCAGAAATCGTGTGACCAGCAGTGACATGGAAGGGATTTTACCCCTGTGCTTGGCATTGGTGAGGCCGCACCTCAATTCCTGTGTTAAGTTTTGGGCCCCTCACTACAAAAAGGCCATTGAATGACTTGAGCATGTCCAGAGAAGGGCAACTCAGCTGGTGCAGGGTCTGGAGCGCAGGTCTGATGGGGAGCGGCTGAGGGAACTGGGGGTTTTAGTCTGGAGGAGGCTGAAGGGAGACCTCGTGGCCCTCTACAGCTACCTGAAAGGAGGGTGCAGAGAGCAGGGGATGAGTCTCTTGAACCAAGTAACAAGTAATAGGACAAGAGGGAATGGCCTCAAGCTGTGCCAGGGCAGAGTCAGACTGGTTCTTAGGAAGCATTTCTTTGCAGAAGGGGTTGTTGGGCATTGGAATGGGCTGCCCAGGGCAGGGGGGGAGTCCCCATCCCTGGAGGGGGGTTGAAGAGTCAGGTTGACCCAGCACTGAGGGGTTTGGTGGAGTTGAGAAAGGTCAGTGTGAGGTTCATGACTGGACTAGATGATCTCCAAGGATTTTTCTAACCTAGGTGATTCTGTGTGTGATCCAAGATTAAGGGAGACACACAGGAAAAGCTATGTCCCAGACTGAGTTCTCTGGAAGAGTTGTAGTCTAGTTGTGCTGACACCTTGTTTGCACTGGATTTTTTTTTTTTTTTTTTCAGCATTCGGTGGTGGTGGTTGTCAGTGGGTAATTCAGCAACGTGCCAAGGCAGCAGTGCAGAAGTGTGCATGAGAGTTAGAGAGATTGTTCCCAGCCCCTGTTGGCAGTTGCCCTGCCTGAGACTGGGTAACTCTGTACAGAATGGGCTCTAAGCATTAAAATTTTATAATATTTATCTAAACTTTTCCCTGTAGCTACCCACTCTATTCAGTTAGTCACTATCCTGTTGCAGTGCACTCAGACTGACCAGTACCTTGAGAAAGCAATACTTTGTTCTTAGCTTTTTTTTTTCCTTTCTTCTGCCCCTAATATAGGCACTGATTTTCAACAGTTTTTGTATTTATCATCTCAACCCTGAGTTAAACAGTTATATCACTATTAGTTCATTTATTAAAACATTGTGATAATACATTTTTAACATAATTCTATTTCTCCATGGTCATGTTAATACTCCTTTCCTTTATGGGCTTTTGTATTAATGGCTATGCTATGAGTTAGATTTGTTTGTGAATTAACATGAATTTCTATGCTGTAATGCCAGTGAGAATTGGAAGTTCCACTGCATGTTGATGCAATATGAGCAACTAAAATGATCCTTTTTATGAAAAGCTTCCAATCTAAAGAAACACTAATGGTAAAATTATAATGTAACAGTGCTAATTAAAAATAATAGAAGAACATTTCATCTGTTACTCGTTAGCCTCCTAGATCTTTACAAAAGGCTTGAGAAAGTTAGCTTAATGGGGCCATAGAGGAAAACTCCCATTTTCACGTGGGTTGCAGATGATTTCTTGGGAGCAGTGTAGTTTTGAGAGCATATTGTGGTCAGCATGATACCATTTATGATCTATTTTGAACTAGTAATCTGAATATCAATTAGGCCTCAGATAGCTGCCAAATCCTGTATACAGAGAAACATAATATATTTTATTCTCAGAGTGAATTGCTTCGGTTGTTTTATCCTGAGTTATTGTTGAATCCTGTGCCTGCATGTTGAATATATGTTTGTGGCATATATAAAACTTCTTACAGCCTAACTCTGATTTCATTGACGTGGCTGTTATGAATTAACTTCTGTGGACTTGTTCCTGATTTATCTTGGCAGGAGTGAGGACAGAATCAGGCCTTCAATCTTAAAATTAAAAAATTAAACTATAATAAAAATATTGTGAAATAAAATATTGCCAACATCTTAACATTAAATAGTATTTCATATGAGACTAAAATAATAAAGAAAATCCTGGTTAACAAAAAAGCAGAAATCAAATATCTATTAAAAAAGAAAGTAAAAACCCCAAGTTTTTAGTGTACAGAGAGGTAAGAATTTGATTTACATAAGTACTGTTTTGAATGTATACTCCTGTAAAAGTGACAAGTTATCAAGCAGAATTGTTTTATTTTTGCATGACTCACATTTAAAATGAAGCGAGATTGACTTCCCTGTTGATATTTATCAATAATTCTTGTTATCTCCAATTGTATTAGCAGAGTTATTTTTTCAGGTAAACATATAGGTGAAATTTATGTATTAGTGCTTTCTTTGGGTTTAAAAACTGTTTCATTGTTCACAGATAATAGTAATTCATTGAAGATTAGTTAAATACTTTTTAAATAGGGATCTAAGTGAATTTAAAAGTTGAGGAAGTTAGCGTCTCTAATATTGAGCTGACAAGGTAGCAGAGAGAAAGAATAGGCTAGTACAGTCAAATAATCAAACGCTGACATTTTACATGTGGTTCTATGAAAACCTCATGTAAATGTCTTCATGGAGTAACACTTGCAGTGACCTGGGAGATAAAGCGATATGGGAATTTACCATCCCTCTGTAAAACATTTCCCCTTTTATTTTTTAGTGACGTATGCCTTAGTTATATGTACTCCCCCCTCCCAGCCGACTACTGTGTTTTTGGGAGAGCATTAGTAAAGTCTTACTTGCGCACATCTCCCTGTTTGTGATGGCTTTGCCCTGGCATGAGTCAGCAAATGGCTGGAAGATCTGCATGTGTGTGAGAAGGTAATTAGTCATGGCCAAACTGTTAACTGAAGTAAACTTGGCTCTCCAGGGACTGTTTTGTTAGAAAGGGAGTTATCTTAGGTTGGCTTCTGAAATCTAATTGACTTAGCATTATTTACAGATTCGTATCAATTAGCCTCTCCATGGAAAAAAGCGGTCCATTGTAATTTTGACAATTTTTCTCAAAAGGCCACTTTCTGGAGCCAGTCTTAGACAGGCAGGTGCCAGAAAAGCATTGTGTGAAAATTAGAGAATCTGCAATCAAAAATGCTGGTTTATACGGTTATAATCTGGAATTGCCATAATGGAAAAAGGAGTTGCGAACACATGCGTATGAATGGAATTGTTCCACAGTTAACAGGAGATTTACGGCTGAAGAAATCACTACAGAACAGCAAGTGGTAGAGATTGTGTTTTTATTTTAATATGAGAGCCAAGTCTTGCATTAGGACGTAGCTGAATCTAGTGCAGAAAATAAACGACACCCAAGGGATAGTGTAGCATTCTGTTAGATTGAAGGGCCTTTAATAATCCCGTAGTCTAATAGCAGTTAAGATAGAGAATGTATAAGAACTAATCTTCTGCTTTTACAATAATATGTGTATGGTAACAAGAAACAGTTACGATGTGTTGGCACCGTAGCTTTTAGCAGATGACTTTGTAAATTAAAAGATAACTTTGCTGAGTGACTTTCTGGAATTTATTTAATGAAGGCCCATAAAATATGATATCTGTTTACAGCTGGATTAACAGCACTACGCTCAACTACTAGTCTTAAAGCTAGACAAAAAGTACCGAACAAATCTGAAATCTTCTTTCCTTCCTGAAGAGTGCAAATTCATTTTGGAAAAGCATAAATTTAACTTCCATGTCTGCCTGTCTTTAATCACCTTTAACAGTTTCTGGTTTTGCACATTCCATGTGGTCTGGACTCGCAAACTATAGGCTGCAAGTCAAATGTATACAAAGAACTATTGCAGCAGTCCTGCTTGTTCAGTTTTTTCAAGTTTGGGTTCTTCTGAATAGTAGCAAGCAATAGCAATTCTATCAGTATTGCACTTTTTCACCCCTTTTTTCTGGGAAAAGTGAATCTATGGATTAACTTTGGTTACCCGATTTTCTGCATAGAAGGTTTTTGGGGATGTGGTTAATTTTTGATCGAGTTATATCTACTCGATTTGTTTCCTGTAGTTAGTGTTTCTGTTTGGGGTGTGCAGAGTGAGTGTAAATTGTTGCTGAAATAACTTCCTTTTTGGAAGCAGTAGTGGTAAGTTTACAGGGGACTTGCCAAACAGCAAGTGTATTTTAGCCTGTGCTATGACTCTCTAAACAAACAGTTCATGGGAGTTGTAAGCAGACAACCTTGGTGTGTAAATGTACACTAGATGGCAGTTTTGTCCTATCTTCCAAGTTCAAATGGCTCTGGAGGAGAACAGGAAAGGCCATCAGTGTTTAGTCTGCACTCGCAGGGTCCCTGCATGACCAATGTGGACCCCATGGACTTCCTGGAACATGTGTTAGCAATTTAGCAGCAGACATTTATTTCTTTGTTTTACTGCTTGGCTCTTTGAGAAAGTGTTGGTACTCAGTTATGGGCTGTCTGGATCATGTCAGAGGCCATGGGGATCAAGTCCATGTGACAGGCCAGACTGAGGAAGGATGAAGTTGGAGGAGGTGAGGAAACTGACCCTTACTTCAGCAGTAACAAGTCACTGCCTGTCTGTGGACTGCAGCCAAAAGCTGTGGCGTTTTAGGTCTAATACAGCTGAATAAACAAAACACGTTGCCCATTTGCCTTTTTCATATTTCATCAATGCTAGTTCAATCAAAGTCTTTTCTATTTCCTAAGAAGAGGTTCTTATTCTTCTTTTTTTTTTTTTTTTTTTTTTCCCCCTCCTGTTCTCCCTACATTTTAGCCCCATCCAGACGAGGTGACCTTGAAATCCTTGGCTACTGCATGTTGCAGTGGTTATGTGGGAAGCTGCCCTGGGAACAGAACCTGAAGGACCCTGTAGCTGTCCAGACTGCAAAAACAAAGTAAATATAAAATGACACACACATGTGCACACACACACCACCCTAGAACCCTGTGCAACATTCTCATCGCTTAGCAGAAGAGGTCTGAAAAAGACAACTTTACATTGTGTAGAATAGCACCTTACAAAAAAGCCAAAAAAAATTTCCTTAATTGAGCAATCTTGGAAGCCGTTAAAAATGTGAACTCTACGTGCAGATATACCCACTTCCACGTGCTTATGTATGCACTGCTGTAGAGAGATGATAAATTCAAATGCACAGTATGCAGTCATTTTGTCTGCTGTGTGGGCTTTTTAGTAGTCTTTTTTTTAAAGAAAACATTTGTGAATTAGTGCAGGCCTTATTGCACATGCAGAAGGTGGTTGTGTGTTTCCATTCAACTTCGTGGGTGCTTTATAGAGACTTCTAGTACAAACATCTCTTGGAAGTTTTTCCACATGTGAATTCAATTTATTTCACTTTGTATATGATACTATTTTTCAGATGGTTTTATGTAGGTTTTTAATGTTATATAAGCCTACTGCCGTTACAAACAATTAAATACCAAGATACTAAAGAACTTGATTAAAATCTTTCCTTTTTCCCAGCATGACTCATTTAGAGCTTACTAAAGCAACAGTGTGTTAGTGTTTCTTTCTCTGCTTTCACAGTTGGGACTTGAGAGAGTTAATTGCATGTGGTACAGTGTAGCCTGTAGAACGCTATACAGAAGAGTAGTTACCCATAAAGGTAACATCACAATTGGAGGAGGCAGCAAACTTTTAAGTAGGGCAAGTCACAACAGAGGTACACAATAGGGATAGCTGATCCACAGAAATCAATCTGCAAATTCAGTGTGGCATCGGCTCTCAACAGAGAAAAAGGTTAGCCTACAGCCTGTGGATAATACAGATTGCATCTGTAAATGTTGACATTGTATGTTATGTTTAATATTTCTCCTTTAGAAGTTCTGATCATTACGCAACCCCCTGCAAGGTAACACTTATACAATTCAATGTTAAATCAATTTAATCAATCAAGCTGCTTCACTAATGTCTCACTAATTCTCCCCTTGCAGTTAACCCTTAGATGGCTGGCTCGCTCAGGATGCCAAGCCAACAGATGCTTCGAGGAAACGCACAGAAAATTATACTGGTGCCATTTATCAGAAATACCCTGGTAGTCTAATGAATTACATTCTTGGTATTAAATAACTTGCCCAGGTCATCCCCTTTTATTTCTCTTCGTTTTCAGTGTCGATACTGTTTTCAAAGGCCAGAAATAGACATCTGGATATATGTGTGTATCCAGTTGCTCATAAGTTAATATAGCAGCACGGTTGAATTGCTTCTGAGCGTGCCAGTGCTTTGCTGCAGAGGCTGTGTGATGGTGAAGAAGAGGCTGGGCCTGGAAGGTGGTGTGTAGTTGAAAGCAGGACCTCTAGTGCTGTCATTTACCAGCTGTCTCATTCTCTCGTCCCTTCAGTATGAGCTCCCAGTCTGTCCTCCTAGTAACGCCGGGGCAGTGAGGCAGCTGTGCCAAAACTTTGGGCATTAGTAAGGGGGTATTTAAGGGCTGCTGGTATGTTTGAGTTTAGAAATGTTCACACTGTGCTATAATTGGAGGAAATTCCATTTGAGTTGGGAATTAAGACAGATTACAGGAAGATTTTTATGTTTAAATGTTTTTATTACCCCAAAACTGAAACCCCTACTTCAGATAGTAAACAGCAGATTACGGAGTTGAAGGTTATTAGCCCATGTACTGCAACTGTATGCATTTGGGAACACATCCTGTTACTTACTGGTGGAGCTTTATGACTCCGTCAGACAAACAAACAGAAAGGATCCTGTAAGAGTATTAACAGCTAGATTGAACTAACAGATTTCACTTAGGAGATCTGGGGTCATGCCTGCACAAAGATGAGAGCTGGTGTTACTTTGCCCCTTTTTAGGGTGTGATTGATTCTGAGCTCCAGCGTCCTTTGCTATTTCTGTTTCTGGGTAGATGGAAAGTACATCTGTGGCCCCGCTCTTCAGTTTATGAAGTGTGTGGGACTTCAGGTCGTTTAACCTCCTTCTCCCCTTTTGTCCCTGCCATGCCTGCTTGTAATTTTGACAGCCATCACCCAGCTGCCCATGAGCTACATGGCAGAAAGCAGGTGATGCTAAATGACCAGTAGGCTGACCAGAACTGCTGCTTATATTCCAATATAAAATATTAATCATTAAGCTGACATAAGAACAAGCCATCTCAGCTCAAAGGATTTTTCTTTTTCTTTCTAGAAAGCTTAAAACAGAAAGAAAAACTTTAAGTACAGGCTTAGCTGTAAGCCTGGTCTTGGTGAAATTAGTAGTCTCCAAAGAGTTAAAAATGTAGCTGGGAAGAGGAGACTTTGTTTTAAAAGCAGTACTGTGAATCATTAGCTATCCCGGAGGTCCACTCCCTTTGGAATTGAGACTTGCTGTCTTCCTAAATCCCAAATGAAGAATCACCTGCTTCAAAACCACATTAAATTGTTGCACTCTCATGTTGTTCCAGACTTATGGATGAGCTCCCACGTTCAGTGGTGGAATGGGATTCTTCTGGACATAGCTGTGGTAAGTGTACTCGTACTATGTACCAGATAGCTCTTGAGCCTGTTAGAAAAAACGTTGAAATGTCTTACTCTGTTTGGGAGAGGCAGAAGGTAAATGACAAAAGTTTAACAAAGTCTTCAGTTTAAAATCTTAAATGTAATTGCGAAGTTTTGCACCTTAGGGCAGACGCCTTCCTCAGGCCTGAGCCCATGCAGTGTTACCAGGCTCTAGTTTTGGGGTGACATATAGCACACAAGAAGGAGTCCTCCTTGAATCAATCCCTGAAATGGAGCCTGTGTGCAGCACTCTGGCAAAAACCTGGCCAACAGAAGAGTTCAGCCTCCAGTGTCTGTAGTTAGCTGCTAACATGGGAGTTATGTAATACTCATGGATAGGTTATATGTCACACTCATTAATTCAGGGTGCAGTTTAATTCAACTAATAGTTCTGGTTTTCACAGAGCTGGATCAGGCCCTTCACGTACAAGCTTACTGTATTTTAAGCATTTTAAGCTTAAAGGCTTGTTTGTTTACTTGAGGGGAGAAAGTAGATTTCTGGATGCTGTCATGCTGGTTGTTCTGCAATAAATGATTCTTGATGCTTACTGATACAGGATACTCAGGATACTTAATGCTTTTATTGCAGGAACTCTTTTTCTGCTGCTTTCCTACATTATCCCATAAACAAGTACTAAGTAGCTGAAATAGACATTGAGGGCTAAATTTTCAACCCCAGCATGTGGTAGTATAAAAATCTTGATCAGTCTCATCTGTGATGTATGGCATAGAGTGACATAAGGGATCTTTAGCCATATGCAATGTGAGATGTTAGGAAGCAGTGACTATCTTAGCAACAGAAGTAGCTGTTAGTATGGAAATAGTAAGCAACTGTCTACAAAAGGTTTATTGCTTAGTATTCAGAGTTTGGAAAAGCAAATGAATGGATGGTTTGTCTTGTCATATGTCTCCTCCTTCACTGAAATACAAAAGTAACCCAGGGAAAACACCAAACTTCCTTCAAAGGTCTGTATCTATTTTTGATTTATTCACTTAATTTCATAGCATTTCTGTACTGGAATTATTGGAATGCCTTGTGTGTTACAGAAAGTGTATTAATGGTGTGTATACATATTTAAAAAACCTTTGCTTCTGGGATTTTCCTGGATGCTAATATCTCCAGTTTTAGGATATACTTGAGTCATCAGCTGAAAGAAAAGGTTGATCCCCCCCATATGTGTTTCCTAATAGCATAATTTCTGATCATTCAGTGATTTCCCTGTTTCTAAAGTCACTCTATAATGATAGCAAAAAGAATGCTGCTTTTAGATCCTTTTAGGAAGTAATCTCAAAATCAATATTTGTCCAATTAGAAGCAAAAAACCCAAGTTGCTTTTCTCCAAAACATTCAAAATATAATATCTATGCAGATTAAAATAGTGTAGTTGAGAGTAGTTAATATTTAAAGGGGTGTTATGATCTATCAAATATAAAACTCTTGTGTTTTACACAGAACTATCAATATTTGTCAATAAAGTATTTTGATTAATTTTTATATGCGGAGAGCTTTCGGTACTATACAAATTAGTGCATGAGCATAACAAGACATAGAAGTTGAGGGATCGCTTGTTTATCCAAGTCTATCTTTTTCTTTTCTCATCTGAAAAGACAAGATATTGTCAGTTCTGTGTTTTGAGTGTGTCTTCAGCTGAAATTGTGTCATTTTGTTTGGCAATGTCGGATTGGCATCCCTTTTGGAATGAAAATCTTACTGAAGTTCTAGGTCTACACGAAGTGAAATTTACATTAAAATATGCTCCTCAGGTGAAATAGCCAAGTTTTTGGCATGTGTCTATGCCTTAGCTTATGATGAGAAGCCAATGTACCAAGTGCTCAAGAAAATCCTGCTGGATGGGCTGGAATCAAGTGGAACTCGCTACGATGGCCCTCTGGAATTTTCTGCTGCAGCACACACGCGGAATCACTGTGCTGCTAAAGTGTCAAAAGTAAGTTAAGACAGTTCTGGGATTATTTCTGGCATCGCCTGCTTGATTGTTGCCTTTTCTTTTGGAGAAGAGGAAATAGTTTAAGACCTCAGAATGAGACTGACGCAGCAGTTCTTTTGCCTTAAATACACCATGTTTGTTAATTCCCGTTTCCCTTGGCTTTGCTAAAAAGTGGGATGTCAACCCTTAAGGAGGAAGAACTGTCATGAGTCCTTTTGACCTACAGCCTCTCACTTCAAAGCAGTAGGTCTGCAGAGAATGATTTACTTTCAGGATAATGGGGAAGTCAAGGACTTCGTTCACTAACATCTTGAAGACCAGCCTGAATGCCAGGTTTTTCCTTCGTCCCAGATTAAAAGCGAAGTTACCTTTATTAGTCCAAGCGTTTAATTCAATTTCTTGCTTTCAAACTGCTCTTTGTCATTTGCCTTTATACTCCTGCAGCCACTAATGTGGAGGAGGTATTATTCTGGGATTTAACTGTGTCATTGGTATGCGGTGCTATGCAATGCGCTAACGCAGCGTTTGAAAACTGACAGCTCTCCTGTTATATTTTCCCGTTGTACTTTTAAAGCTGAAACAATATAGTTTATAAACCTGTGTTTTAATAAGTGGAGATTGAGGTAATTAGCAGTCTTGCTGGACGTGCTGTGAAATGTCAGTCCCATCATACCTCTGTCTCGAAACTCCCCGTATGCAAAAGCCCCATTTCTGTCCCTGATGTGTGTGCAATAAGGCAGGGTCAGGGGACCATTCATTTTTAATATTTCTGGTGAACTTTGGACCATCACAAGTGTACGTGAGCCAAGAATGCAGGATGCAAACTAATGTGACTGATAGGCTGCTAGATGAATGGTGATTCAAGTATCAGTGCACAGATGGTTCTGATTTGCTGAGTTTTGTAGCTGCTGCAACTGAAGACATAAAATATCCTTCTAGTCATAAATTAGCTCTTTGGAAGCAAAACCTTGGCACCAGAGCTTTACAACCTTCAATTAGTAGGGAAAGAAGTATTTGAATGACTGTGGTATTGACATCTGTAGGCCTGCATAGTAATCATTCCTAATAGAAGAGAATATCTGTTTGAGGGGGTTTTGCATGGCTAATTAACCACCAGTGAGAATATGTAATTTTTTCATGATCTCCTGATTGTCACCTTTCTCTCATGATACAATTACATTTTATTGTAGCAAGTGCCTCACAAACCAATTGTCAGCACTATTTACGTATTACGGAAGGCAGAACAAAAGTTCATGTTTAATAAAAAGGCACTGGGTTTTGATCTTGGTAATTACAGATACTTATTTTAGCAATTTTACTGACTTTTCTGGTTGTATCACTTTTTTTTTTTTCTTTTAACAAAACCAAAAGCTGTTCCAGTGATAGTATTTCTCGTGCTGTGATGGTGACCACTTTGTCCTCACTAGTCTGAGCAGCTTTTTTAAAAAGTTTGTACAGTTTTCTGAGCCAAACTGAAATATCAGGTAGCTGTTAACTGATCTCCAGCTGATCCCGTTGGATCTCTGGTTCACAAGAGTCTTAGATTTCTTACAGTCAGATACTGAATAGTAAATCTATTTTCTTCTTATTGCCAGGCCTAATACTTGACAGTATGCTGGCATAAAAGATGATCCTGACCTTCCAAGCTGTAAAAGCTGCTGTAGTACTTGCTGTTTGCAAGTGCACAACCCCACTGAAAAAATCCATGAGTGAGGAGTGTCAGTTATCACCACTCTTGTGCTGCAGGACTAAGCAGAACTGGTTTTGATGGCCAAAGAACAAGATCAGAGGGAGAGAGTATGTCTGCATATTACTAAATCTTGGCACCTGCCATCACTTCTTCAGAGAAAATTCTGATGATGAATGTCCTGCTTGTTGGAGTAGTAAGAACATTAGCATGGCTCCAAGGATCATCTCTTTTTTTGGAGGTTGTTTCTTCAGTCAGTTCCGCTGCTTACATGAGCAAGTTTCCTGTAACGTTCACTGCAAAACAGCTGCAGAAAGGAAATTTCTAGGGTTATTCAGAGGACTTAAGTAGCATTTAAATACAAGTACAGCAAGCAGAGAACTGAACTTTATCTAAATTTATTGCTCTTCTCAGAAAATCCGCTTTTTCAATGTGTGGTTGTTGGCTGTGGAGGATATTCAAGGCCTGGTGCGCTTCGGTGCTACAGTCCTGACAAAGTGTGGAATGACAGGCAGGTGCTTCCCCCTCCATCTCTTCCCAGCACTGCTGGTACTTATCCTAGGGCTGAGTCTTTTCATCTCTGCATTCCCTTTCCACCTCTCCTTTTATTCACCAAACACTTCTCCCATTAAAGAGGCAACCAAAGAATAGTGGGAGCCACTACAAACGGTCCACTGGCTCCTCACTTCTTGCTTACGAGCAGAGTGTGACACCAGGTGACCTGTCTGATTCCACCTGTACCAGTTTGGTACACAGGAAAGGGCTGATTTGGGGTTAATTCCCTTCTGAACACCAGTAAACACCTGTAAATACCAAGAAGGGGATCCTGTAACACGAACTGCTTGAAGATGATTTGAAGAGGAATTGCTACAGAATGTGAATTTTAAGGTGCAGCTCCTGGCATTGTGCGTGTTGAGGTGAAATACAGGTGTGACAGTGGCTCCATCCTGGTTCTTTGTTTCAACTGCGCACCCAACATAGGTGATAAAATACTATGTTAATTCTCAGGGGTTTTTAGCACTGAATCAATACTTCCAGCTTTTTCACCTACAGTAAAAGTACTAGCGTTTGGGCCAAATTAAGTACTGCAAGACCAGCTGACTACTAGGTAGATTTTGTAGAGTTCACATTAAAAATTAACAACATCAGTACTAACCTGTAATTTTTCTTAGTGTGGAATATGGTAATTTTTAGACACCAGTATTTTCACAAGTGCTGTAAGTTGTGTTTCAAGAGTGATGTATGTAGTCATTCTGCAAAGATACCAGAGCTGGCTGTTGACAACCTGAGCTATTCTCGTGTGGTGCTGTGGCCAGAGGAAACAGGCTGGGCCCTTGCAGGTGGGTGACTCTTAGTGTGGCACAGCACCTCACCTGTGCTGCTCCATTTCTCAGGGCTATCTACGGTGTTATGTCTCCCCTGAAACTATCTTGAGTTGTTCAGAACAGATACATCTCTACATTTCTAAGCATTAAGAATGTTCACAGAACACAACTAAGGATTATATTCTTAAAAGGTGTTTTGGATTAAGCAGTGTATGAAGTGCCTACGGCACTTTCAGTGGTCTTTAGTTTGTGCCATTTGTATCTCCTGTATGTATTTAATTTGCAGTATAAAAAAGCAGCCCATTATTTCTTTTTTAGCTGCTATATTCAGATGCAGATGCTGCATAGAGGACCATATGCAAACATTACAGTTACAAAGTTATTAGTGTGCCAGAAGTACCAAAGGCATGTGGCATACAGCCTGTGTTTTGGCTACATTTGTCTTCCAAGTTACAAAAGCCAAAACCAGACATCATTTGATACTTGGTGCTTAGAGCAGCACTGGAAGAAACTTGCATTAACTCCTGCAACTATTCACATTTACATTTTAGAAGACTGTAAAAGAATATCAGCCTTAACTCTTAAATTAGATTACCTGAGTCAGAGGACTCAGCGATTATCTTTCTTTAGAGAGTTTTGCATTTGACTCAGTCCACTCATAGAAAATGTGTTTATCTCTACTTGTTAATGAAACAGTGACTTAGTGGCATCATTCCCAATAATGGTTATTAGTGAATGTTCTGAAATGTGTAACTGAAGTTTATTTTACAGCATACTTCCCAAATAGAGCATAGCTCTAAGTTGCTGTGCTTTGAAGAAGACATTTATTGATAATTGAAATGTTAAAACCAATTCTGTTGAGAAAGATAAAAGCTCACTCTCGTTCTGTGTTCTCAGTACTGAAGGGGGAGCATTTTTCTTTCTAAAATACTTTTTTTCACAATACTAAATTGTTCACTGTACATCAACAGGTTCGCTTACCAAAGCCTGCGCCAAAGCCAGTTCAGCAGATGCAAAAAAAGATGGAAAGTAAAGAACACGTGTGTCAAACCAAGGCCCAGACTGGGGTAACGGGCAAACAACCCAGAGATGAAGAAAAGCCAAGTCAATTAACCCAGAAGCTTCACCAAACGAAGCCTCAGCAGGTGAGAGCTTGGGAGCTGCAGTAGCATCTCATGGGAGTTTGTCTGCTCCACTAGCTCAATGTCCTCCTGCTGGCATGGGCAAGGGAGAAAAGGGCTTGGAAAAACACCATGAGCTCTGCCTCAAACTCCCAGAGTGGGCAGGTGCTTGCTGGCTTGTACTATCCCAAAAGTAAAATTCACAAGAGTTTTGTGTGTAGCCCAGGACTGCAAACAGGGCACAGCTGTTGCCTGCTGCCTGTCTCAATCCTGACAGGTCCAAGTATCAGGAGGGTACCTGTGAGTTTTGACACTTACTGCCTTCTTTTCAGCATGCAGAATTACTGTCTGTCCACCGGCGGGTTCACTCACCAAGATCTTCACTAAAACCAGGGCATCAGAAGCAAAACACACTGCAGGAGGAAGGAGAGCACTGCCTAAGCAGGGCCCAGGCGCAGGTAACATGCTGCCAATTCCAGGCTCAACAGAAGCCGGGTAGAATTTACCCTCCAATTCAGGAGCCCAACCACCCACAAAAGGTGCGGTTGTTGGTCTTACCTCAGAACAGTCATGGCCCCTGTGAAAGAAAAATCAGCTTTTCGAAGAATAAGAGTAAAAAACCCCACCCCCAAGAAAGCCTAAACTAACTAGATGCAAACTGGGTGTTTGCCACAAACACGTAAAAGTTTGTGTGTAGTTGCAGGGTTATGCTATACCCAAACTAACACTGCAATTTTTTATTTATAGTTTGAAAGTAAAGCAGCGCACTTCGATACTGCACCAGTGTGCAGATAAAAGTGTCGGGAAACCAACAATTGCTGGTTCTGAACCTTGTTGTTTCCTTGGTAAAAGCTTTCTAGTCGTTTCCTTTTCTACGTGGTGGAAGACTTGATAGCACTCTTTAATTAAGTTCTTAAAATGTGACACTTAAGGCTGAGGATTTTAGTAATTAACTAACCTCAAATATTATTGGTAATTTACAGTGTAAAAGGGTTGAATTAATGCTTTCAGTCTTACTCTTCAACTATACGTGAAAAAAAATGGTTAAAACCATCAAGGTTTGGGTGAAAATAATGCAGAATGAAGTACATCTTAGTCATCACACTGCTCCTTTGCTGTGGAGTTTAAGTATATTTTAACAAAGAGATTCTACCCTGTTTTTCTCTCATGGAGAAAAATAACTTGTTATATGAGGACAAGTTCTAATAAACACAGAAATGCAACTTTAAAGATAGCTTTATTATTAATCCTAAACTCTTTGCTTCAAGCAGTCTGCTGATCACTGCCGGGAGACTCTGGTACAAGCTAAGGGAGTGAAGCAGAAAAAGCACAGCTGTACCTGAGAGCATCAGGCAGTAAAGTGGTGAGCAGAACAATTTTTGGAGATGTTTTGGCTAATAGCAAGGTAGATGGATTCCAGTAAGTCTCTTGACTCAAAGTAACAAATACAACTTTGTAACATGAAGAATATTCCTGAGCTATTTCCTAGTCCTCCAATGTGGAATTAAAGGGATTGTAGCAAAAAAAAAGGTAGCAAATTTCTCCCACAAATCTCTGTAAAAGCCACTTTAGTCCTAAGAAAGCACATCTGGCAAGAGACACATTTAGCTTTCCAACATGACATAGGGAAAAAAAGAGCTGGTGTAGCTTCCCTTGTTTACCTGAAGAGCACATAGTACAGGTGTTAGTGACAGCAGAAAGTAACAAGGGCATTTGTGTTTCCCTCCTTTGTGGGAGGAAGGAAAAGTACATTTTTACAGAAAAGGGACCAATTGCTGGTCTAGTATTTAGAATACATTTGTGGTCTGATTTAGTCTTTATAAAGGAAAAGCTGCCACCTCAATGTGATTAATAATGCTGCATCTATGTAGAATAGGTCTGTGGTACTCACTAAATATTATTAATAATAAGGGAGAGTTAAAATGGATGACAGATACCATTTGAGATATTTAAATGAGAAACTGGAAAAGGGAACAAAAAGGATTGTGTTAATTTCATTTTGCTAAGTTCCTCTCAATTCTTTTCACAGAATTTAGGAGATGGGTAAAGGAAAGGTATACAGGAAATTTTTGAGAGGTTATGAAAATTCAGGAGGATTCTTAAGGCACAAAGCAGGGAACACAATAGTTCAGGCAGGAAGTAGAGAGGTAAGAGGCTGTCAGGCATCTGCCAAAAATTACTAATTCCAAACACATTTTTCTCAGGGACAGTGGAAAATGTGGTCAGGTGTGGGGATATGTGGGAAACAATCATCCTCTTGAGGGATTCCTATCAGAGATGGAGATCAAAGTGGTAAGCTAAGGCTGACACTGCTTCTGGAGATGTAAAACACCCCCAAACACCACCCTATCCATCTAGAACAAACCCCACGTGACCAGCATATTCATGCTATCTGTGGGAAATGAGGAGAATTCTAGCTTTGCTATGAAATGCAAAAACATAAGTTAAAACAGCAAATCAAACTTCAGAGTAATTGCCAGGGTCAACCAGGATGAAACTTTATTGTCAGGAATACTTTAAAGACTTGATATGTTAACATTTTTGGAAACAAAGATATTGAAGAATTTCAGCTGTTGGCTTCAGTAATAAATATAAAGTCTGTCTCTTTAGAAGGTCTGTAATCACACCTCATGTTATACAGTGCATCGGCACATGCAACTTCCAGAGTTAAGACTTTGTAAGAATTGTATTGCATTATCTAGGATAACTGAAATACCTAGATAGCAGCTTTGTTTTTTCTATTTAGTTTTGCTTATTCAATATTGTTTATTTATTTTTTTCCTACAGGGAGACACTGCAAGAGAATTACCCCCATTTGACCTGCATGCAACATTCCCCGAATGCAAAAAGAAACACCATCAACTCTTAACTGCAGTTCATTCAGGTTCACTGCAAGAAACTGGTTCCGACAGCACTAGTCCCTCTGTCTCTGTTCTAGTTAAGCTCGCATTTACTGATGAAACCTACCACTACACTATAGCTATACTTGTACTTCTGCTACTAATATTACTTTCCTTGTATTTTCTTTGATGTCACTGTTTCAGTATCTTCAGTCTAAGTGCAGCGGTGTTCCCAGCACGCAGGTTTTTCTCAAAGTTTCTTCACTGAAGATTTCAGTGTCAGTGGCTTGGAAAAGATTTTTTATAATAATACCGTCAGTATCTTTTAAAGCCAAGTTCTCAAACTTTTCAAATCTGTACTCAGTAGTTCTGTATACGCTAAACTGTTTGTACAAGGCTGTTTTGTGTTAATGGATGATGGGATTCTTTTGGAAACTGGACCATTTGCTACAACAACAGTAAAAGTGTCATGAAATCCATTGGGGTGTGATATTTAATTACTGTGACACTAGTATGGTGAGAACTGGTGTGTAGCTGTCTTTATACTGTTTCAGAAAACCTTTAGTTAAATACTAATACATTAAAAGCATGGGAATTTAGTTTTCCTCTCTTTCTTCTAATGTGTAATGGGGAGGTAGTAGCCATGTATTCTCTTTTACAACAGACTTTGTTAGTTTTTGCCTTTATCTAAGCGACCACACACAGTTTAGTTCAATCCCTCATTGCCATTGCATTTCCTTACCTTATTACAATAGGGACATTCACCAAAGATGACGTTAAAACTCTGTCTGCTCGAAGGAAGACCTTGTAGCCACTGCAACACAAGTCAGAGCATTAAAATTCACATCTGTTTCATAACAAATTTCAGAAGGATCTATTTTCAGGAGTATTCCTCTGATCAGCATCTGCCATGGTGTGTGTTCAAGGCAGAGTCTGTGCCACAGGAAAGGGGGCAAGAAGACAAGAGGAAGCCCAGTGACTCTTGTAGCACCCCTGAAAGGATATTGCTTCATCTGAAAGCTAAGGGGGTGTGATGCTTGTTTTCTAGAATGTGGGAGTTAATGTGAAAAGTTGGTGCTATTAGTTACTTCACCTCCAAGAGGCAAGCCTGGTGAAAAGGCTGTCCACAGCGGGGCTCATCGCACACTTGGTCAGGAGCAGCACCATCGAGGCGGTAGGCATAGCAGATTCCACAGTCCTTAGCAAAATCCTTAAAACACAACAGCGTTTAGCTTCCAGTCCAACTGAATGCAAGAAATAGGGCTCCTAACGCCTCTTCATATTTGTCTTTGCTTTGCATTTTTTTGTTGCTAAGAGTGAGTAAATATCTCTGCCTTCCAGATATGTTTACACGGTATCACATAAAGAAGGAGAGAGGTTGCCAGACGTACAGGCTTGACTAGGTCCTACTTTATCCTCTCACTACACTACATTTAGTCTGACAAGTGTTTTCTTACTCTTTGGCCCTATTGTTTCTTCTTTATTGAACACAATGATTTGTCATTGTATTTGGACATTAGACACAAGACCTCAGTCAGATACTAATTTAAAACTTTCACAAGTGAAAGCAAAGCTAGTAATCCAGTGCTACAGCATTGTCAAAAATTAATTCCAAGTTTGTTTGAAATGCACCAGTATTTGGATGGCCTCTTGTCCCCTCTAAGCAGCTCTGCCTAATTAGAACTTAAGTCATCAACATCCATAACAGAATGTTTGGATTTTCCACATCTCATTAGCTACTCTGGAACTTCCTCTTTCCCTTGTAATAGCGAAGCCTGTTATTAATCGCCTTACTGCTACCCAGGCCACAGGGAAGTGTGCACCTCTAATCAAAGGTTAACAGGCTCTGACAATTGTTGCTTGAAGTGCAGAAGTCCTTATGACAATATTAATCCAATTACCTCTCTTCTAAATTTCTTATTTTTGCTGGCATTTATAAAGTGACCATTTCAATTTTACTTGTTTGGAAATAATGACTGATGACTAACAAAAAACAACTTACACTTTTTTCTAACACAGCACGAGATGGAAAATCAATTTCCAAGAGGTCTTTCAAGTTTTGCAATAAACTGATTTCTGGATCCCTGCAGGTGGGAGACGGGGGGGAAAAAGTCAACACTAGGAACAGCAAATACCATTTTGGTTTCAAACAAATATAGTTAAAGATGCTTACCATAAGTGCACATTGGTGTTCAGCTTAATTCTCAAAGGATTAACCACTGCAAACAACATAAATAAATAATTACATCATCTTCAAGATCCCTTTTGCTCCCTGACCCTGTGTAACCTCTCCTATTTCAGCACTGAAAGGGAAGGTAGGGGTTGGGTTTTGTTTTGTTTTGGTTTTTTTTAATTAAGGTACCTAAGGCAATAACTACTCTTAGTTTTTAGTTTGGTGAATTCACTACACTAATATTTAAAATATCATACTGTTGAAGAAATGATTGTGGTTACCTTAAAAAGTTAGGAAAAAGTTGTGCGGCACAGAGTAAAAGGCTTGAATGTGTTCAAATACGAGTAGGACAATACAGCAAATTTTATGGTGGGGTGGTTTTTTTTTTAAGAAAATGGTATTAAAATATAAACATGATGGGTGATCATCTGTAGGACATAGGGTTCCCTCCAAACTGTGCTAGGAAAGCACTGGAAATAGAGTCACTCAGAGCAAAAAAGGTTCAGGCTGTGAAAAACCCCCAGCACTTCCTGTGTAAAACTCCCTTACACACATATTCAGCTTAATTCCTGGCTCTGCTTAAGTGAGGTTTACCCCAGGGAGTCTGACACAGCTCACCCTAGGATCTGCTCACCAGAGATCAGCTTCCAGAAGAGAAACAAAGGGTCTGTGTCTGCTGCCTTACCGTGATCTGCTCCAAGAAAGTAGCACTCGGGGAGCATGTTTGGATGCTGAGGATCTACCTCTACGTTCACCGAGACGTTGCTCCCTACAATGAGAAAGCAAGTCATAGGGGAAGCTTTTCTTTGCAGTCAAGTATTTGAAAATGGAAATGTTAACCTTTTTTTAAAAAAAAGTTTTAAATTGGTTAGTTCAGACTGGTTTTCATTATGATAAATAATAAAGTTGTTAGGCATTTAATTAATTGTACAAAATATCAGTGTATATATTAAATATTTAAATAGCAATGGACTGTAATTTTAAAAAGCAACTGATTAAAAAAACCCACCAGTCTTGTATTTCTCTTAGACTAGTCTTAACACTTTTAGACTAATTTTCAAATAATCAAACTCAAGCTACATGATGTAATCCATGTGAAATTTTAAAGGTAGGAGAGGGGTAATTGTTATTAATGCCTCGTTATCTTTTGCAGTCAAAAAGAGAAGCAGAAAGACAGTATTAAGCAGTAAAAGTCAAGCCCCTATGCAGCATCCTCCTGAACTGAGGAAACAATGACATTTTTTGGATATGGTGAATATTTTTCTCCTGCGAGATATCCCCTGATCCTCACGTGGTCTGCTACTCATTCAGGGGTAGGCACCTCCAAAATGTTCCAGATCTAGGTTAAAAAACCTCACAGCAAATTCTCTTCTAAACAAAACCAGGTGAAAGCCAGCATTTTTTGTAATTAAGAGGTGTGTTTGGCTTGCCCTCCTTGAAGAAATTGCAATGAATGAAATCAAAGCTTCACCAGGACTGAGGCTTGTCTGTGACCAACAACAGAGGGCTCAAAGCCTTGCCATGCCCTCTGCTGATCTAACGTCAGGTGCTTTTTGAGGCTTTTCTTTCCTTTTCATTGGTCTGTGTTAAAGTACAGCAGAACCAAGATAAATCCACCCTGACTGCACACACAAAAAGGAAAAGCGTGTCCGACCCATGTCATTTTCTGTCCCTCCTGGCATCCCCAATGGAGGAGCAGCCTCAGTACCCCGCTAGCTCCTTTCCTTCTTCACTCTGCAGGCAATTGGTCTTTCCACAGGTTTTGGGGACAACTTAGGTCTATTTTGGTCCATTGTATGTTCCCACATTTCTACAATATGCTAGTGATACTTTGGAATTAAGCTAAAAATCAAAACTTCTTTCAAGGATAACATTCCCTCCCCCCTGTTTTTCCGACCTCCATGGTGGCAAGTTGCTCCTCTGCAATTACAAGACTCCTCATCCTATATATATATATATATATATAGCCTTAAAAAGCCAGACATCAGCATATGAATTAAGGTACTTTTTCACATGGTTGTCACTATAACCCCTTAAGTTCCTCTCTTCTCTTATTTCTCTGTCCTTTCCACCTGCCTCATTTAACCCCCTTTTGACAACACTCTAATACGCTCTTCCAGGACAGGATCATTCTGAAGTAACAGTCTGTTTAAAAAATCTGGAATTTGTGAATGAGCTAAGGGCTTCATCTGAGCTGATTTTTTTACAGTGATTTTTCAAAAGTTATGCAAGTCCATAATTTACAAATGCACAATACTTCCCTGCAGAAACTTTCTATGTAACACCAGAAAGTTGTAATTTATTTCCAAAAGAGATTCAGCACTTTGTGTATTAAAAAAACATAACCTTCCACAAAGTAAGAGAGTTGTGTGTTGCTGGTTTTAAATACTACACCTTTCCCTTACCGAACTGTAACAAGCACCATCTGATTCAGTGAGCAAACAGCACCCCAAGGTTCACTTCTCAGTTCCACTGTATTCCTTCAGATCTTTTCATACCTATTGCAATTCTTCTTGTTGTAGCACTCCGTGTGGGATTTTCTGGCTCAAGCACCCATGTCTTCCCATCTATTTCATCCATGACATCCCAGAATTCTTTCAGTGATTCTAATGCTGCCAGGAACTGATTATAAATGTCAATTAAAGAATCCTAAGAAAAGAAGACGTTTAAAAAATTTCATATACTTTCCACTGACAGCCACATGGACTATTAAAAAAAAAACCCACAAACACAAAACTCCAAGCTGTAGGTAATTTAGGAATGTTAAAATCTAGTATGTATCCAGTTGTATCATGGTAGCTTAAAATGTTGAACCTCACTTTTTTTTTAATGAAAACAGCCCAAGTAAAGAGCTGTATCCTGAGAACAAATGAGTTCTATAATCCCAGTAGTTGTAACATGTTGTGATATATGTACATCGTACCTGGACTTGGGAATGGTTTATACTCCTTTTCAGAAAACATTTCTAAAACAGGGAACAACTACTAACTTGCATTGTAACTTATAACAAACTACTGTAAAATTTAAGTAAAAATCATCATTAGCCACTATTAAACTTCTAACACTGATACTTTGTCTCTACTTCGGCTGAGCAACATGGTAGTGGTACCAAATACAAATACACAGAAATACCCACGTAAATAAAGTAGCTTACTTATTTTTTAAAGACTCTAAGAAATATAGCCTAACAATGTCATAATTATCTCAAAATTAAGCAGTACAAAAACAGGTACTTAACATTAGATTTCAAGCCATGTAAGTACGGTAAGAGAAGGAGAAGCCATCTAATAATCAGAGGATTACACTCAAGGGATTTCAATATTTGAGAGTGGATTATGTGGAATCAGACAAATCTTTCATTATACAGGACAATATACAGAACAGCAATGTGGAAGAAGTCTTTTTAAAATCATCAGTGAGCAAAAAAGAAGTAACTGTTTCTACAGGGAAAGACTTCTTCAAGTGGAGAAAACACTCAGCAGTCAAATCAACACCTTTCCAAATGCAGAAGCCCAGAGGGTACAAAACATGAATTTAGGGAACCAGAGGAGGAGG